GGGGGGGGGGGGGGTGAGGGCAGTAAACGCATAGGGACAGCCTGCGGAGGGGAGGTCGCGGGGCTGCGTATCTTACTGAAAACGAAAATAAACTAGTCAGCAAAGAAACCCGAGTACTTACAGGAGCCAACTTTAGGTCGTGTAGGATCTCGTCGAAATAATGAAACTCGGATAACTCCAGCTCAACCATTTCATTCTTCAGCTCCAGGACGCGACCCATCACGCCGTCCAGAATTTTCCGGATCAGTATTCGCTTCTGCGGATGAACGATCTGGTCATAGACGTTCTCCAGGTTCCGAAAGATCTGTACATATTTTACGTAGAAGGTGGCTAACATGTGGAAGATGTAGACTTGACTTCTCGGCGGTTCTGCCGTCTCCTGAGACTCTTTAACAAGCAAAGAATTGAGGGCGTCCTGGGTCCGATGCCACATCGTATCATACATCCTGAGAAGACACAGAGGGTTCAGATAATGCCGTCAGCAGAACTCACCTCGTCAGGCGCGCAGGCCGGGCGCCTGGGGCGACCGACGGCAACGTCGCAGGGGCGAGCTCAGAACACCGCGGGCAGTCACGGCTCCTCACTCAGTGCATGGCCCAGGTGGACGTGGGTGTGACTCTTGGGTGTGGCCACTGCCGTCATCATCATCGAACAAATAGCTGGGAAAGCCTTTCACCGACAGGACACGAAGTGATTCCCGGCAATACCCATAAAGCCAGGGTTAAAGCCGATAACCGGGCCGGTTAACTGATTTGTCCACGTGCAGAGCTGGTGGAGTATAAACTGGATGAACCCCTTTGGAAAGTAACTGAGGGTTCTCTCGTCTAGCGGGACACGTGCATCCCCTGGAAGGAACACGCACACCCAGGGAAACGCGAGCAAATCTGCATCCAGAGTGACGATTTCTTTATAATAGCAAAGACCTGGACATAACCCAAGTGTCCACCAGCAAGAGATGGGCAAGCAGACGGCAGCAATTCACGGACTATCACACAGCCGTGAAAAGTGAGTGAATCACAGCTGCGGCACCAACCAGGAGCCCTACGGACACAGCGGAGCGTGACCGGCACGGGGCGGGCGCCGCGTGGATGCTGGCCTCTGGGGACGGGGTCGGGGGCTCCCGGGGCCCCCGCGTCCCATTGGCCGAGACAGCGGACGGGGGTGGGCAGGAAGCCGGGGGGAGTGAGACAGAGGTGCGCCCTCTCCCACCACCTCCCTAGGGAGTCAACACATGACCCTCCTTCTACCGCGGGTCAGGGTGGTGCCGTCTCCGTGTCGCCAGCCCCAGGACGCCACACCATCCCTGCCTGGCCTCCCTGGGCTCAGCGCGCACCTTTGTCACTGGTCCCTTTATTAGCGCCCCAGGCTGAGTGTGCTGCCCTTTTACTGTTGGGACTCTTTTTAGAAAAAAATTTGGGTGATTTTGGCTTTTTTATAGTATCTGAGAACAATGACTGAAAAGCTAACTGAAGTTCAGCGTTTCTGGGAAGGAGTCCCTGACACAGATTCGCAGCCAGTCCCCACCCGTCCGCCCGGCTGGAAGGACAGGAATGCCCCCGCCCCGTCCCGGGGCTCTGCCCAGACCTGGCCTCTTATCTCCCCACCCTGTTGCTGGCCCCAGGTCACCGTCCCTGCCCCCCTCTCCTCTCCTCCAGTCTCCTTCCCCCCTCCTGCATTTCAGGGACATCCCATGTCAAATGCTCCAGTGTCCTCTTGGCCTCGCGCGTTTCTAGCCTTTTAAATGCTTTGTTGCCTTGTTGGAGGCGGCTCAGGACGAGCAGGAGGTAAACCCGCTCCTTCCATTCTCCTTTCTACACGGAGCCCCTCCTCTCCCGCCCCGAGGGCACCTCAGAAAGACCAACGGGAGGAGAGGAGGGGCAGAGCGAGCAGGGCCGGGCGCACCTCGGGTAAGAGCAAACAGAGGCTCATCGGGCGTGTGCCCGCGGAATATAAAATTGTGCAGCAGCCAGAGGAGCCCAGGCTTCCCGC